CTTTCTGTGCTTTGAGCGTAGCAAGAGTCAGTCAGTGAAGAACTTGAAACTCTCACTTAAAGAGGTACGGCTGGAGAAGGCGAACAGCTATCCTTGGATACCTGGAGGAGGCATGGCTATTGAAGTCTCTGTGGAGGGGACAGGAAAGGTAAGTGATATGAAATGAAGTAATTGACTTGAGAAAGATAAGGACCACATGTTTGCCTGTCTTTCTTTTATACTCCTCAGTCATTCTACTCTCTCATTCTTTTTTGTAGGAGTGATACCTGATGCAGGGTATTTTATTTTGTCATCCTTCTCGAAATATTTTCCAACGCACTTATGTGTATTCGGTAATATGAAGACGGTGGGACCAAAAATGTACCACATAAACTTTTATAATAAAGTTGGACCTTCTATTATTATTATTATTATTATTATTATTATTATTATTATTATTATTATTATTATTATTATTATTATTATTATTATTATTATTATTATTATTATTTAAACTCCTTGATAGGAATTCATTAGGGTTTTCTCTGTTGGGACTGTATGTTATTGGACAGATTGGACAACATTTCGGTAAGTGACATACTGCCACTCTGACAGAATTTCTGCTTGACGTTCAGCAGACGTGGGATCAGCCCTCCACCACGTCTTGCGCCGAATGATTTTAGTTGGCTCATTCACAGACAGTTTCACAAAGCAGTCCTGAATACCTCTTGGACTCACGAAATCGTAATAACACGATTGCAAACAAAACACATTACTAGTTTCACGACTCACTCGGTATGGGTTGAAACCCCACCCGTACCGTGATTTACCCTCTAGGAACTCGTAGTACTTTAGATTCATAGTCCAAATACTAAATTCGCTTTTCTGAAGTTTTGTTAGTAGTATTCATTGCTTTATTACCTTGGATTCACACAGAGCATTGTCGGATTCACAAACAAATTAAGTAGAAGCCAAGAGGTTAGTCAGATGAAGCTAATTTATCAGCACTGTGCTCCTCCCTGAATTTTTCTATTTATATTTTAAATATTGACGATAGAAAAGCACTAATTACCAAAAGCGGACATCAGAAAATATTTATCTTTTTCTTCACTAATGTTGATTGAGAAGTATACTGCCATCTTCACATATGTTTATGATAGATTTTAAGTCAATTTTCGCCTTGTGAAAATTTACTATATACGTGATTCATGTACAGGTTGTGAGGCATAAAAGTCTCAGTATCATAGCTGGAACAATTTACTATAAGCACACATGTAGTTCGGTATTAGAACATTCGGTTTTCGTTCGAAATGAACCGGGATCGATTCCTGGGCAAGTCCATTTGTACCTATTATCCATGTTCTCCTATCAGTATGTATATAACTGACTGTTACGAGTAGCAACATGGAGAGGGGAAGGGGTATAAACTTAATGTAAAGATATTAAATTATTTTACTTTATTTCCTTATCCCATGTAAAAACGAATTAAATAAAAGCCAGATGATGTGTCAGTCATCCAGAAGTCAGGCCATGGCATTGAGAAGTGAGGCGACATGCAAGGTCAGGTCAGGCTTTATGTGTTGTTAAGATTGGTGTATTCCACAATGTACTGGGTGAGGCAAGCATTAATAGAAAGAAAGCCTGAGCTAAGAATCATGTTAGGGATGATTTTAAGGCCAACTCAACAGGTTGGATGGAGGATCGAACCTCCAACATTCCTCCCGCTGAATTACATACATTGGTTAAGCGTTTCACATAAATAACAACAACTGTGGAGCACTCTACCTTCCTCTTGGATATTATTCCAGTAGTCTACCCGACTTTTCTTTTAAGGAAAAAAATAGGAAAAAATATTGTTAATGTGTTAATTATTTATGATGGTTACTTCAAGTAATTCTCATACAGAAATAATTGAAGGGTCATTTTTTCTTATTTTTCTAGGCATTTTTCTTTGCTGGAATCCTGAATCGTGATGAAGTGTTCGATGGCATTATCGAAGCTTGCAGAAAGCTAGGAGCAACTTGGTGTGATGCTGTGCAGATGCAGGAGAAAGGAAAAGAGTCCAAAGACTCCAAAGAAATTAAAGAAAAAGGTAAAGAAACGAAGGATTCCAAAGAAGCAAAAGATGCAAAGGATACCAAGGATTCAAAGGATTCCAAAGAAGGTAAAGATAAATGAAAATAGACCAAGAGGAGCTACTGCAGGAGACTGCTAAGCATAAGGTGATACGAAGTTTAAGCTTTGTGAAGGAATGTGAACGTCTGGTGGTAGTCATCGTTTATTTGTTAAGAAAAAAACATGGTGTCTACAGGCACGGATCTTATCAAAAGATGACAGATTCAGTGATTCAGCATCTACTGCTCTTCCCAAGCTGGGTTTCACACTCCATTTATAATATACAGATCACTAAATACCAGTGTATCGTAAGATGATATGTTGACACTTCTTTGAATGAAGTGACATGAACAGCAAATGTTGACCATTACTTTGAATTACAGCATTGCAAATGTCTTTACACAACAGTGTCTTTAACTCTGCCACTTTTAGATGTGCCATGACTTCCAAGCAAACATATTAATATTATCAAATATTTATATGTAAATATCACATAAAATTGAGCGAATCGAAAATATTTGATGGAAAATGGAAGAGTAACTTAGTACTTTTTATCCAAACGTGATAGTTTGTCCAGAATTTGAGCTGCATTGACTGTTTATATCACTACGTGATTGTTGTAGTATGCATTTAATCTGTGTATTATGTGTATTAGATGATGACAATATAATGTATAGATATTGTGTATCTTATAATTTTCAACAAATTTGAAATAAAACGAGATGTTTTACATTATTTTTAAAAATATTTCAAATGGGTAGTGCACAAATAACTAAAGGAGTCTTCTAAAACTGCCTAGTTTCTCATTAACTATTTATCTGAACTTGAACGTATTATAATTAAATAATGTTAATATTAATATTAAATCATATTAATTTTAATATTTTAATTAAAGGGCAAAATTCATATCTAGTGTGACTTGTAAATAGATAAAGCAAAAAATGCTATTTTTACATAGGAAAATTACTTGCATTCATATCATAAAATAAGAAATAGTGTAAAATCTCCAGGTGACACCAGTGTAAATATGAATAAGACAGACATAATATAATTTTCACTATACTGTTTTTCCAGTAGATCCTAAATATAAAAATATATAACTTATGAAACCAAGACACAATGATGCTTGACCTAATGTGGTTTCAAAGTGTCTATGAGGTAGATTGTAAGAATGTGATGGGTTGCTATGTATACATCCTATACATCACTAAGTATAATTTATACACTAAAAATGTAACATGAAATCAGATGAAAGGAAATGCGATATAATGAGTCTTTGTATGTTCTGTTAGATTCTCAGTAACATTTACTTCTATGAAATAACTCTTAGATGATTCTTCACCAGTCATCTCTCTTGTACTATTCGACTGGAGTCAATTACTTTCAAAGGTATTTTTGGAGAAGCTGTAAGGGTGTTGGATATAAATATTTCACAAGTACTAGAGATGAACTTTTTAGTGTTGGAAATGAAGTTTTTAAGGTGTTGGAAATGAAGTTTTTAATGTGTTGGAAATGAACTTGTTAAAACTCTTGAGTGTATTGAAAATGTTCCATTATTGTTTTATCCAGCCATGTTTTTTCTGCCAAGCCTTGTGAATTAATAAAGTACATGTATAACGGTAAAAGAAACATTTAGGAAATAATTTCATTGACATGGACTGAAGAGAATACACTAGTCATCAGGGTTTCTAATAACTTTAGAGTATCATCCATGCTGATTTATTTTGCAGGAAAACAATGCGAGAAGCTTTTAACAACGTTGATACATTTTGTGTTTGCTGAAATCAACCTAGTATCACGTCCCGAAAAATCTATAGAAGAAAAAAGAATTGCTTGGATTTTTTTAAGCCTTGATCAAACCGTGAGCATATATTGGAAGAACTGAGCATTGCAGACAAGTATGAAGACAAAGATACACTTCAGAACAGGTTTTTATTGGGAGAATATTTCGCTCTGCGAAGTGCTTATCAAGTCATAACTTGACAATGCTCTACACAGAGTTCTCACATAACGTCTGGCCAAGTATAGAGAATATATGGAAAGCTTTGTCTAGTACTCGATAGGAAAAAAATATATACACGTCATGCATAGAAATGATTTAATGAGGAACAGTAAATATCAAACACTGAAGGATATAAAAATCACGAACAGCTCCTAGAATATATCATCAGATTTCTGAATGCGATAATTCTGTATGTACACATCATTATGTAATCTCATAATCTTAAATAATTTAAATGGATCGGCAGATTTTTTGGTACTTACTCATGTGTTTAATACATAACAATTTGATTATTACTGTCTGTCCCTCTTTTGGAAAATATTTCCAGTTACTTTTCCTCTTACTAACTACACCGAGTTCTTCTTGTTCTTGCTAACCACTTCCAGTTCGTCTTGTTCTTGCTACTTCCAGTCCTTCTTGTGTTTGTTAACTACTTCCAGTCCTTGTATACTTGTTAACTACTCCTGGACATTAATTTTCCCTAACTTTTCATCATCTTGCCCAAAAAGATTTCTATTCCTTACAACATTATAAGACACCGTATATAACCTGTTACCTCTGCCTGTGAGACATCGATGACTCACGTGTCTGCTAAACATTTGTTTTCTTACATGTAATTTCACACACCTATAACATATGGCTGTCTCACATATATATGATACATTCATTGGTTTAAAGAAGTTGCGTAACACCTTTGTAGCATATGTTTGCATACAGATCTGTTACCGCAGATATTAATGTAATGTATTTTCTTATATATATATATATATATATATATATATATATATATATATATATATATATATATATATATATATATATATTATATATATATATATATATATATATATATATATATATATATATATATATATATATATATATATATATATATATATATAATATATATATATATATATATATATATATATATATATATATATATATATATATATATATATATATATATATATATATTACAGGGTGCCCACAAAAACACTCCCTGATTTCAAACAGATATAACATGTAACTTTACTGTAATAATCCTTCACAGTTAGTAGCTTCAGATGCAGGATTTCATTCAGTTTCATGTGGTATAGGGTAGCATTAAAGGCACTCAATGTGCGCCCCTCTGGTTCCTCAGAAAACATAGATGCGATGGTCCAGTTCGGTCCAGAGGCTCTGCAGCATATCTGGTGTTATCATGCGAACTGCTTCAGTGATCGGAATTTTCAGCTCCTCCAGGGTTGCAGGTAATGGTGGTACGTAAACTGTGCTCTTCACGTATCCCCTAAGAAAGAAGTCACAAACAGTTAGGTCCGGTGACCTCGCGGGCCACTTGTGGGCAATGAATGTATGTCTAGGGCAATTGGTGTAAATTGCTTCCTAGACAGATACTGCAAGGAATTTGCAGTTTCATTCACTGATAACTGAGACAAATTTTATGGCAAACGTGATATGTATGCAAGGGATAGGGTTCATCTCTCATGGGCCAGAGTGGTTGCATTAACCAACTCAATTGAGGGGGGCCATTGCTTACTAGGACTTTATAATGATAGATTATATAGGTATGGGTGTGTGTGGGAAACAGTCGAGTTGCAGTACAAGGGATGAAAACAGCAGATATTATCAGGAAACCTCAGGAATATATTTAATAGACAATATTCAAAATAACGTGTGCTAGTAAGGCAAAGCATTTGATTAACAAACAAAGAGACACAGTAGAGGGCAGAGAGTGATTAGCTCCCTTAAGGTGTGCTATACTAATAGTAGGTGTCTTAGAAATAAGATAGATGAGATAAGATTACTTGCATGTTCAGGTTATATAGATATTATTGCTATAAGGGAGACCTGGTTCAACCTGAAAGATAGAGAAATGCCTTCTGAATGCCACATACAAGCCTATAAAGTATTCCACACTGATAGGGGCAACAGGAAGGGTGGTGGAGTGTCGATGTATATCAAAGATAATTTAAATTGTTGTCTTAGGCAAGATATAAGATTAGAAGCATTGGACATAGAATTTGTTTGACTACAGTTTCTCGAGGGTCGTGACAAATTAATTTTGGGTGTGATTTATAGGCCCCCAAATCTTGATAGGGAATACATCCAGCTGCTGTGGGACGAAATTCATAAGGCATCTAGATATGAAAATGTCGTGTTAATGGGAGATTTTAACTGTTGTTTTTTAAAGCAGTTGGTGACAGAGCTAACTAGAGAAAACAATCTGCTTGACTTGGTTCTTGCCAACAAGGAATCACTAATAAATAATCTTGAGGTTAATGATGAACTTGGGGAAAGCGATCACAAATCACTTAGTTTCAATATATAATGGAATTACCCAAATAACTGCAATCAAGTCTCTGTCCCAGACTTCCGCCTGTCCAATTTCATGGGACTGAGAAATTTCCTGGGTGGGCTAAATTGGAATGACCTGACTATGGGCCAGGTAGGTGGTGTTGGTTGCCAATATAACGTTTTTCAGAGCATAGTTCTAGCTGCCCAGACAACTTTTGTTCCAAGTAGGGAAATTAGATCAACCAGAAATGATCCCAGATGGATAAACAATAGACTAAAACATCTCATGTGTCAAAAGAGAGGCATATAAAGGCATATAAAGAAAAGCTAAAAGAGATTATAAGGCTAAAGTGGCAAGGAATTCGAAGACTAACCCAAAAGGGCTCTTTCAGGTATATAGAAGTGAGATTAGGGACAAGATTGGCCAACTCAAAAGTAGCTCAGGTCAGATCAATGTACAGTGATAAGGAAATGAGTGAAATTTTTAACTCATTTCCTCTCAGTTTTTACTAGCGATATCCAGTAATAATAAATTATGTAGAACAGGACGATAATAAACTATGCACGATTAGGGTAACTAGTGACATGGTCCTCAGACAAATAGAGAAATTAAAACCGAACAAATTCCCAGGCCCTGATGAACTATTTGCAAGTGTTTTAAAGTAATGTAAAGAGGTCCTTAGTTTCGAACTATAGACCAATAAGCCTTACCTGCGTAGTGGGAAAATTTATGGAATCAACAATTGCCGAGGCAATTTGTAACCATTTTGAAAGGCATAAATTGATTAATGAATCTCAGCACGGGTTTACAAAGGGCGTTCCTGCCTTACGAATTTACTAACTTTTTCACCAAGGTATTGAGGAGGTAGATAATGGTAATGAATATGATATTGTGTATATGGGCTTCAGTAAGACTTTTGATAAAGCTTCACATGAGAGGCTATTGAGGAAAATTAAGGCACACGGAATAGGAGGAGAATTTTTTCCTGGGTACAAGCGTGGTTGGCAGATAAGCAGCAGAAAGTTTGCATCAATAGGGAAAAATAAGAGTGGGGCGCATCACGATTAGTGTTCCACAGGGTCAGTGTTGGGCTCTTTGTTGTTCACAATTTGAATAAACGACTTTGATGAGGGAATAAATGGAGACATAAGCAAGTTTGCTGATGAACCCAAAATAGGTCGCCTAATTCATTCTAATGAGGACGTTAGAATACACCAAGAAGATTTGAATAGACTGATGCAGTGGTCGGAGAAGTGGCAGATGCAGTTTAATATAGACAAATGCAAAGCTCTAAACATTGGACAAGAAAATAACCATGCCACATTTAAACTAAATAATGTAGATCTTAATATTACTGATTGCGAAAAGGATTTGGGAGTTCTGGTTAGCAGTATTCTAAAACCAAGACAACAGTGTATAAGTGTTCACAATAAAGCAAACAGAATCATTGGCTTCATATCAAGGAGCATAAATATTAGGAGTCCTCATGTTGCTCTTCAACTCTCTATATCTTTGGTTAGGCCTCAGTTAGATTATGCTGCACAGTTCTGGTCACCGTATTACAGAGGAGATATAAATGCACTGGAAAACATACAAAGGAGGATGACAAAGTTGATCCCATGTATCAAAAATCTTCACTATGAGAATAGAATGACGGCCCTGAATCTGCACTCTCTAGAAAGGCGTAGAATTAGGGGGGATATGATTGAGGTGTATAAACGGAAAACAGGAATAAATAAAGAGAATGTAAATAGAGTGCTATAAATATCTAACCAAGACAGGACTCGCAGCAATTGTTTTAAGTTGGAAAAATTCGGATTCAGGAAGGATATAGAAAGCACTGGTTTAGTAACAGAGTTGTGGATGAGTGAAACAAACTCCCGAGTACAGTCATAGAAGCTAAGACGTTGTGTAGTTTTAAAAATAGGTTGGATAAATACATGAGCGGGTGTGAGTGGGTGTGAGTTGGATCTGACTAGCCGTGCTGATGCCGTGCTCCTTCCTTAAGTGGATATGACTTGACCTGACCTGACTAGGTGGGTCATTGCTTAAAGCTGGGAGGTGAATTGGACCTGCCTTGCATGGGCAAGTAGGCTTGCTGCAGTGTTCCTTCTTTCTTATATTCTTATGACTGTCATAGTAAGCTTTTGTCGCTAGTCTGCGTATTTCTTGCGCAATTTTTCTTTGTATACGAAAAGCTTATTCACGGTTATGAAAAGAATATGTAGATTTAATGATTAATGGTAATGCAGATGAATATAATAAAAAAATCTCAAATTAGCCTTCCATTCTTCTCTCAGGCTTGACAGAGAATAGGCTGTTCTGATCTCCTCTTCTTGCTGATACGATTCAAAAGTGATTTTCAACATCTAGGAACTCTGAATAGTTTTGAAACCCACTGTGTTTGTCATTATATATGTGGTCAAAACATAATTAAAATAATAGAAATACATGTATTGAAGATATCTTGACCTGGTTAGAATTACTGGGCAATAGCTTAGTACTACAAATAATGTGATTTAAACACGTAACAGATGTTTATTCTGTATTATGGTTCATTCAAGATATTACTGTTGCTCATATATACCGTATTTCGCGGCTTATAAGACCCGGCTTATAAGACGCGGCTTATAAGACTTGTTTTAGCTTCAATGGCTCGGCTTCGGACGTAACTGGGAGAGCTACAACCCACCCCACACCACAACTTATAGCTCCCGTCACTGACCTTCAATTTATGGGACGCATTGTGGTTTTTGATGACATTTTAGGAAATAAAATGCGTCTAATAAGCCTCGAAATACGGTAATAACTTTATTGTTGTTAATATATAACAACTATACTGTTGCTAACATAGTTTTGTCTGTTAACACATAACGTTACAGTTGTTAATATATTTCAACTTTACTGTTGAAGCATAATAACTTTATTGGGCTAAATAAAACAAAATATAACTTTAAAATTTCCTCAAATTTTTTACTATATTTCGTTAATATTTTTAAATATTATTTCTTTTGTTGTTAAGAAAAACTCAGCCACTGGAGGTCAGTCAGGTTAAGCACACTGGATTTGGTCAGTAACTTAGTGGGTGACCGCTTTGTCCTGGGCTTGGAAAAAATTCGATTAGACGCATTTATTGAGTATGGGTGAAAATAAATCTAATAATCTGGAGGGAATTACGTTTGATCCTTTTAAAGGGAGGAGTAATTCCAATCTTTTGGGCCAAGAGCCCCTCACCAGCATCAAGGAACCTTCCTGGAAGGTCCCTAGATCAAGAGCCCTACACCAACATCAAGGCTTCCACCCTGGTGTTTCTTGTATAGTAATGAGTAATTTCTGATTGAAGACATTTAATATATTCTGATGGAATCGTTTGAATATATTCTGATGTATGGGAT